ATGGAGGCGACGCCTTTGGTCCTCGCAAATGCATTGGTCCTCCGAATCTGACGGCCGGATCCGTACATGCGCGTGAATGTCCTTGTCGTCCTCCTCCGTCCCGTCCTGGGGCGTTGGACAGGCCGGAAAAAAGCACGGAGAGTGTTGGTTGGATCGGAAGAGACGACATCGACATGCATGCATGGCCGGTGGGTGTGGGTGCCGCAGCTGCTGGCCTACTGCTCTCCGCCAGCTGCCGCCCGCGGCTCAACCAACTGCAGCTGCATGGCAGTACGTGATACGTCGCCGCGCTGTGCCTGTGCGAGGGGACCGGCCGGAGATCTTCATCTTCTTCCCCCGTTTGACACCGGCAGTTTCTGTTACTTTAATTTCTGTAGTAATAAGTTTCATGAACATATAAAGTTTCACAAATTTTTGTTCAGAGTCTGTCGTGCATTTGATCCAAGCCCTGCGAATCGCCAAATCCGTAGGAGGAAACCTCCGAATCCCAATACGGCAAATACTCGACATGCTTCCGCATGCATGGTAAGCGACTAAGATGGAACAGATACATGTGTTGGTTGTTCACTGTTCAGATATAGTTTCCAAATTCATTCAACCAACCTCCTTCCTCCTTCTCGCGTTCCAAACTGGTTTACCTGGATGGTGACCCATGTACGAGAGGTTCCTGCCTCTGTGGAGGAGAGCGATGCTAGAACATAGCAGGCCAACTCAAGGAGCAGAATAGCATACCATGGCACCGCATCAAAATGGCCCGGGCGCACGCGTATGCACGCTGATGCGCCTGCTTTACGTTGGGGCCCGTGCCGCCCATGCGGGGGCGTGTCTCGATCTACGCCCACTCCGTTTCCTGCGCCTACCGCTCGCGGCCTCTCCGCTCCCACACACATCCACACTAGCCCAGCAGCAGTAAGTTGATCTACTTTTGCAACATAAATACTTGCAACATACGTCCGAAACAATTGAAACACTTGCAACATACGTCTGAAACACCAGGGAAACATATGTGTAGCCATTGCAAAATATGTGCAACTTTTAGATAAAACACTTGCAACATACGTATGAAAACACCTGAAACATGCACTTGCAATATGCATGTATATGCAACATCCAGATCTATTTTTGCAACATCTAGATAAAACACTTGCAACATATTCTTCAAAATAAAAACACTTGCACCATATGTGTGAAAATAGATAAAACATTTGGAACATACACTTGAAACACCATTGCAACATATGCAACATCCTGATGTATTTTTGCAACATCGATATAAAATACTTGCAACATACCTATGAAACATTTGAAGCACTTGAAATAGACGCTTGCAACATACGGTTTCAACGCAACATCTTCTTGCTGCTTGAGAGAATGGAAGCTCGTCGGCGTATGGAGTTTGCCGGTGTAGAGCTCATCGGGGGTGCGGAGATCGCTGCTCCAGTGGAGAAGGACGTGGCAGGCCGGTGTGGAGAAGGTCGCGACAGGTCTCCACACTGTGCAGGTGGAGCGCGAGCTATGCGCGGGGTAAGCTCCCCTGCGAGCTATGTGTGCGCGAGTTTCATCCCGGTCGTCGAGAGCTGCGCATGAGCGAGATCCACCCCAACAACGGCGAACTGGGCAAGCGAAGCGCGAGATGCATGCGAGCGGGCTCATCTCGGGCTGCCGTGAGCTGCACGGGAGTGAGATCCACGCCCCCGGCCGTGGCGAGCTGGGCAGATAGAGCACGAGAAGTGCGCGGGCGGCCTCTGCCTTGTCTGGTCGCCACGAGTTGTGCGGGTGGAGCGTTCCGAGCTATGTGGTGGCCGTGCTCCGCTGTGGTGTTTTTTTTGAGAAACTATGGTTTCTGGAGAGTTGGGCTAACGGATAGGAGAGATCGTCTGGGCTTGCGTCACGGCTCATGAACGTGAGCATTGGAGGGACGAACGCTCACCGAATCAGAATTCTAGCTGGGGTACTCAATTGGGCTCTAAGACTGACCACAGCGTTGTCGTTGCTTGAAAAAAATTTCAGCCTCCCGTACGTTCCGATGCCTCAACTCCAGATATTTCCACAGCGTGGGCATCGACGATTCACTGTGCCTAGACCCCACCCACAGAACCAGCCTCTTCTTTCTCTATCCTTTCACGCGCCAGGGACTTTTCCCCTTCGTCTCCGCCCAAAGCCTCCCCGACCGATCTCTCCATCCCCGCTAAATTAGGCTGCAGAAACCACAAAAATCGATCTCTCCATCCCCAAATCAAAGCTCTCCTCAAAATCGTGGTTCCATAGCACTTATCTTTGGAGGATCTGGTCGCCACTTCTCGTTCAAGGTTCAGGGCATCTCAGCACCGTGAGATGGTGTCAAGCCACCGTCGCCGCCGTCGATCCGCCGCCGCCCACGCGCCAGGGCTTCATCGACCTCCTCATGGCGGGCGGCGCCTCTAGCCATGCCGCTGGGTCTGCCTCCAAAGACGCCGCAGGGTCGCGGGCAGGCATGCACACGACGGGCGATCCAGCCACGGGCTGCCTCCAAAGACACCACGGGTCGCGGTAGGCACACGACGAGGCGCATCCAGCCACGCCATGGCGATCGCCGTAAGAGCACACCGCAAGGGCCGCCCCCATCAATCAATCGCAAGCGGCGGCAACCAAGTCACGGGATCGACGGCCCCACTTTGGACGCCGCTTCACCTTGACCATATCAACCGAGCTCAGCTCCAGTGCGTGCTAGCTCCATCAACTAATCCTTTTCTTGCTGCTGTGTAACTCTTTTTTTTTCTTTATTGCCATGCTATCTATAATTCTTGTGATATTGGAAATATGAAGTGCACAAGCAGAGGTGGTACATCTAATGTCGAATACAATTAGAATTTTTTTGCGATGGATGATGCTGGAAGTAAACATTACAACTATAATTTTTTGCGATGGATGATGCTGGAAGTTTTGAATCAAATATGAAGTAAACATTACAACTAGAAATTACACACACGAGAATTTAGTTTATTACACACATGATAAGTTGGTACATCTAATGTCGAATGATGCATGATGATACAAACATTACAAGTAGAAATTACATAATATACTAAGCTTGATTTTGTCCAAATCGTTTGCCATATATGCTCAACTAAGTCCTCTTTTAGCATGACGATGCATATCTCGGTTTCTAATGTCTTCTTCTACCTCCGGTAGTGTTGAAAATCCATGAATAGGCCTGTGTCCAAATCCAGCCAATGTGGTCAAGAGCTAGGTTGGTCATATTCACTCTCATAGTTGTCGCCATAGCGAACTCTAAAAGTATCCCTCTCATCCTCCACAATCATGTTATGCAAAGATAATACATGCATACATGATTTCAAAAAGTGAGTTCATTTGCCACATACGTGATGGGTTGATATAATAGCAAAGCGAGCTTGCAAAACACCAAATGCACGCTCCACGCCTTTTCTTGCTCCCTCTTGATGCTCTCGCATATAATTTGTCTTTCTCACACTGAGGCAAGGGTATTGTTTTTACAAATGTTGCCCACTCGGGATAAATACCATCTGCTAGGTAATACCCCATGTTGTACCCAGTTCCATTGACCGTGAAATGAACTTCTGGGGCTCTTCCTTGAAGTACTTCAGTGAACAAAGGTGACCGGTTTAGGACGTTGATGTCATTGTTGGACCCAGCAACACCAAAAAATGCATGCCATATCCAAAGATCATGTGAGGCAACAGCTTCTAGCATGACACTAGGATGTTTTATGTCACCGCGGGTATACTGACCTCTCCATGCCTTTGGACAACTCCTCCATTGCCAATGCATGCAATCTAGACTCCCCAACATACCAGGAAAACCACGAGCTTCACCTATGTGAAGTAAACGTTGAATATCTTCTCTAGTTGGCTTCCTTAGGTATTTTCACCAAAATTTGCAATCACACCTTGACAGAATTTTTTCATGCACTCAATAATTGTGGTTTCTCCTATTCTGAATTTTTCATCCCACATGTCAGCAGGTGTACCATATGCTAACATGCGCATAGCAACTGTGCATTTATGCAATGGTGAAAATCCCATCTTCCCAAATGCATTGTTCCTTTGACAGAAATATGGAGACCAAGAACTTAAGGTATGTACAATTTGTAGGAATAGGTGACGTTTCATACAGTACCTACGCCGGAACTGAACATCATTGTACACTGGATTTTCTGAGAAATAATCTGCAACCAGCCTATCACTAGCAGCTTCCCGATTTCTTTCTATATGCCTTCTAGGAAATTGACGATGGTCATTGCACGTACCTCCTAGTTGAGCCTCAATCTGACCTTGAAACTTTGCCTCAATCTGAGCTTCCACTGGATCATCCATAAACTCCCAAAAGAACTACTGGATGTTAATCCTGTTTGCTGGTTCTTCAGGAGAACTTCCTGCAGGATCTTGTGTATTTGATGCCATTCCCTTAGCCCCTAGATTAGAGTATGCTGGGAGGTGTGAAGTGTTCTGAGAACACCACCTTCTATTTATAGGAAAAGCTGGTCACAACAACTAGTTTCTAACGGCTAGATCCAAATGTGCTGCGACAGCTAGATTCCAACACTGTAACTGGAACTGCAGCTTTTTACATCGGCTAGATTCCAGTGGAATAAACTGTACACGTGAGGACAATGTGCTTTAACAAAAGTGATATTCAGATTCCAATGTCCTTCATAAATAGATTATAAATTGACATAATAGGACAATACATATATAGGGAAAAGCTAGTCATAACATTACATGATAAGCTACTTCTACCAACACAATACAAATATTGAAGGCTACTTCTACAAACCGAGCTTTTCAAGAGAAAAGCTCTTTAGCTAGCAAATCCAAGACTTGTTTATGTCTTCCTAAAGTATCCTCATCATAACCTGAAGTGTCCTTGTTAAATAGCCCTTGTTAAATAGTTGTATATATGCTGCAAGTTTGTCTAACTTGTTCCTCTCCTTGTTATTTTCAGCATTCTTGTCATCAACTGCAGCTTGAGCTAATGCTGCTTCAGCCATTTTTTTCAGCAGCCATAGACTTCCGTAGCTGTAGTTCATTGAACTTCTGCATGCTTTCCTCTATAAAAAGACTTCCTTCTGAACACTTATGTTTTCCTTTCTTCTTCTCAGATTTGGCTGCATCTCTCCCTTGTGGTCGTCGCGATTCAACAGATGCACCATCTGTGTCTTGAGCTGAAGAAGAGCTGTAAGCACCAGATGAATTCAGCTTAATCCTCTTTTGCAATTCATGTGTTGGGTAAGCTCTAGCCCATTTAGGTTGGTCCTTCAACGCTGCCCACCAATGTTCTAATGGAAATGGTCGTTTCTTTTTCATAAGTCCCTTCCACTTTGCCCGAACCTCCTCCATAAGCTGATCATCAGATTGACCACTAGCATTTCTATTATTGACATCATTGTAGACTCCATTGAACTTGTTAATGAGAGGATATTCTTGTGCCAGTGTTCTTTGCACTGCATTGATGTTCTTCTTTGCTGCTTGGGAGCATTCTTGTTGTACTCAGATGCGATTTCCTTCCAGAATCGATCTCGAGGCTTTCCATTGCCATCGATTGGATCATTAGAATTCTTGAGCCAGGCACTTACTAGGCATAGGTTTTCCTCTTCACGCCAAAGCTTGCGACCTCCTTGCTTTTCACCTTCATCTGTGCTGCTCTTACTGCCTTCTTGAATTTGAACAGGTGCTGACTGCATTGGAGGGGCTCTGGACGCCGGAGAAGATGAAGCAATGGGGCTGCTCTCATCACCCCTGGAGTTGCTGCCACCACTTCCAAAGAAGGGCATCGATCCAATTGGAGATGCTGGACCATTTCCGTGGTAACCTCCATGGTATGCTGGTGGTGGAAAAGGGAAGTGCTGGAAACTTGGTGGTCCTCCAAAGGAATTGCTGATATTTTGTGGGTAGGGACCATGCAAATTGGTGGGTGGATAGTTCATGGGCTAGTGTTGTTGCTGATTGAAGGTTTAGAAGTTTGGGTACTGCTGTGTGTTTGGATTTGGTGCTTTTGTGTGTGAGTTGATGAGATTTGAGAAACTAGAAGAGGAAGAGTGGTCCATCTTTGAACTTTTGTATTTGGATATATGCCTGATCTATACTTGGTGAACTATATGTATATATATGCAGCAAGCCGCAACGGCTAGCATGCAAGGCAATGGCCAGGACCAACGGCCGCATGGGATAATAATATTTTAGTCATCTAGGATCAACGGCTGGTTGGAAATAATTTTTTATTGGTTCAGGCATCGGTGAATACACTTGCCACGGTGCCTGAAAAATTAGACCGAGCATCGATTGTTATAATGTTCAGCACCGGTGCTGAAACACTATCTTTCCTCTTTCAGCACCGACAAAAGCTCACGTTGTGGCCAGTCTAACGGATTTGAGCACAGCTCATCTACTGATAATGGGCCCAGCTCATAGGTTAGGCTGTCACATGATTCAATCCACGCTCACTCATGGAGGCCTCAGCTCCAAGCCCAAAGTGGATATGGATCTCCAAACGGTCCAGTGGCGTTTGGATCGTGGGATACAGAGGTCGGGATAGGGATATGGTCATATGGATGAAGGCGCAAATCATAACCGCTGTTTGGTTTGCGGGAAAGAGAAATAGAGAGGGAAAGGGTTAGGATAATGCAGACCTCATTTCCCAGAGAGGGGTGGGTTACGATCTGGATAAGAGCTCCTTGGCTGGTGACGGCGACGGCCGAGCCACTTCCTCGTGCTCGGCTCTCCTCGAAGGGACGGGGACTCCGGGGAGCCACAGCCTGCCTGGTCGCGCGGCTGCCGGAGCCATGGCAGCGGCATGTCTCGTCGCGCGGAACTCCAGGAGCCGCTGCTCGTCTCGTCGCGCAGGCCGCCGAAGACGCGATTTGCATCGCAGCAGCTGCATAGCAGGCTGAGGAGAGGAATACGACGATGCGATGCCCACGCCGCCTGCAGTGCGGCGCAGAGCTCATCCGGCGGAGTCGCTGCGCTCGGCCGTCCGCTCGCTTGCTCTGGTACGCCGCAGCCCGCAGCGTGCCTCCTGGGTGCTCCTCTGGTGCCACTAGCAGTCCGTGGGGGTGGGGGGGGTGACTCTAGATGAGCCTGGTGAATGGATAAGGTGGGTTTCTTTTTTTTATTCACTCATGGGGCCCACTTAACCCTCACACAAACCCGATTGTAACCGAACAACGGACTGGACCTCCAATCTTTTTCCCGATCCACGACCCACCTCTTCGTATCCTACTATGTTTCCATTTCCCTTACCCACCATCTATCCAAACGCCACCTCCTAAGACTAGGAGTACAGTTTCCGACACGAGTGCACGACCTATATATTTTTGATTGAAATGGTGTCATATGCATATCAGACAGTTCGTCCGTGAGTTGCTAAGTCCTCTCGTCTCTCTTCTCCTTTCCTCACTTCTCTTCTTCAATCTTTTACAACAAAGTCCACTTGGTCTCCCTCAATTACCGTGGTCATCCGTTTTTTCTTCCTAAACTACAAAACCAGATTGGTCAGCCCCTCAACTTTTAAAACCGTTTATTTTTACACATGGGTGGTTTTTGCTGATGTGGCGACTCATCAGAGGGGGTAAATCGGGCTAATTTAAAAGTTTAGAAAGATAAATCGGACTATAAATATTTTAAAAAAAAATCTCAAAAAATTCATAAAAATAAAATTTTAAAAAGAATATTTTTACATGGAAAAATAATGCAGTTAAAAATCCTATGTTATGTTGGTTAATTGGTTCTTATATTTTATAGTTAAGTTGTGCAATTTTGTAGGGCTTTGTAGCTTTGAGATGTTTCTGCATAAATGAATAATAACAATAAATGATTATGGAAATGTGCGTTCCACATTGTCTATAGTATTTTGTTTTTCTTTCCTTCTGGCCATTCATGACAAATTGATAAGGTTTGTTAAAAACCATTGTGAATATATGATCAAAGGATTCACCAAGTGTGTGATACATTTTCCTATACAATATATGGTCAAAGGAGTGTTACTAATTGATTGAGCAAATTA